AAAGTATCCTAAAAGATGGAGTATTCTGTTCACATGTACAGTGGGGGGGGGGAGTATTTAGTCTCTCATAGTTGAGGTCTAACTATGATGTCAATCACAGGCCTCTCATCTTTTTAGGTGGGAGAACTTAAACAATTGGGGCTGACTATCCCCCCGGTAACAAAAATACATAAATAGCAATGAGTCCGGTTTGGATTTGCTACATTTTAAATCCAATGAAAGCAAGATTGGTAACTAATAAATTGGACAATAATCTGGCTGTTTAGTGATATTTCCACAGTTGTGGTCTTGACACAAAAGTCMGAGTCCTCAATGTCCGAGACCGAGACAAGACCACTGGTCTTAAGACCAAGACCGGTTTCAAGTACTACAACTCTAGTTTTAACATTTATTGAACCTCAGCATACAACTGGTAGACATACTTTACTTCAAGTATTTTCTTCATCACAAAAATACAGTTTAACAAAATAACAATATAAAACAATTGTGTTTTTAAATCTCTGTACACCATACTGTTCACGTATTTCATTATAAATAAAATAAACGGTTTAACTATGTAATGCTTTAACTCTCTCATTAAATATTGTGATTGTTGTTTGGACAGCGGTGTTTATTTATTTATTTATKTTTTGGTGCTTTATTTGCTTTTGTAGAACTTTGTGTCATTAAGAGATTAGATTAGAGCTGCTTACAGACGTGGACAAACACTTCGCTCCAGCACATAATGCATATTTCACATGCGTTACTGCTACAAGCCTCAACAGCACATTCTTAAAATCTTAACATGTATCCTAAAATGAACAGGAAGCCAATGGAGAGAAGCCAGAACCGGGGATATGTGTTCGTATTTTTTAGTTCCTGTTAAAAGATGAGCTGCTGCGTTTTGGACAACTTGTAATCGATGCAGAGAAGATTAAACCAACATACAAAGAATTACAATAATCCAAACGAGATGTAATGAGAGCATGAATCACTTTCTCAAGGTCTTTGTTTGGGAGGCATGGCTTCACCTTAGCAATAAGGAGTGATATGGATAGCAATATGGATTTTTTTGCAAAAATGAAGGATTTTTGAGGCTTATCATACAGATAAATGTTCGAAGGCGCTGAAATGTATAACAGTAACAGTTAGTGTGGTAACAATGGAAATAGTAATAGACTATTTCATAGTTAGAAAGGATCACAAAGGCACAYGCCCAAAGTGGGCCGACCTCACGTTTATTGGGAAAAGGCTGAGTTTGCTATTTAAATNGTATATATACTGTGTTGGTTATTGTGTTAACAAATATCTTTTATACCTGTAATATGTAAATAATCCTCTTATAGTCCTTAAAGTTTCTGGAAGATCTCCAATGAGTTTAYCAACGTTTTTAAAAAGCTTATAATTTCTATTAAACTAGAATCGACTTTCAAGAAGCGTCCCAGAACAGGATGCTACCTTTTTATTTGCGAGCGAGGGGTCATCGGTTAGCAGCTTAGAGAGGTCAGGGACTCGAGCGCTGGCAGCTGAGTAGATCCACTCTTTCTCTGAAGGATCCAACTGAAACACAAACACATCCTGTTGGGACCTCTGAATAACGCAGAGGCCACAAACCCACACCCATSATCCCGCTCCTCTGAGCTCACAAGTTTAGCTTTTTATTTGTTTAACGTGGWCGGACACTGCTGACATAAAAAAGGACTGTATTTACAAAACCTAACCCTTACAGGTCAAACTGTACGTCACTACCAAAAGTAAAGAAACTGTAACTTTCTGAACTTGACTCTTGAAGTGTTTTACCTCCTTGGTAAACACGAAGCGTTGGGAAAACAATAGGAGAAGGTATTAAAAGGCCTTACAGCGACAGCAGCAGAGCCCACGCTGCCCGTACACTCCTCGTCAGGCTCCGACTCCGACTGCAACACAAACAACACAATCACTCAGCAGTGACACGGCTCAACTGTAATGACCAAACACCACACACCGACACACACTCTCACACACCGCTGTGATGTTTTCCACCTGAGGAGATGTGAGCAAAGGGTATCAGACAGGCAGGGAGGTAACGACACACACCCACAGACGTGACACTTTCACACCWGAGGAGCAACGAATAACAATCTAATTAACAATTACCTAAAGAAAAAAAACATCAATGTGTTTTTGGTGTCGTTTCTGGGGAAAACAGCAGATTATAATCTGACATCTGGGTGATTTATGAGGAAGATTCTCTTTTTGTGAAGTGTTCTCAGGTCAGTCAAAACTTTAACGCCCACAGAGCCACATGTCAGGAAGCTGGACAGGAAAAGTGGAGGCTTGCTGTTTATCCTGCCAGTTCCATCCTGACAAGCCTCTTTTTCTCAGCGCTTTGGTAGAAACCAATAAAAACAGGCAGAGGAAACAAAATAACATTAAGGAAAACGGCGGCGAGGTCTTAAACATTAATGCTCATTCAGCATGTTTATTTTATCAGCTGTGGGTGTCTCAGGACTAAACCCAGAACATAGTCCACCTGTTCACCTGCCTGTTGACTCAACCGGAGAGGAGACCAACAGATCTTTAAAGGGATCCATGATTAGTTGTAACGTTAGACTTTATTTAATAAACATATATTTTAACTGTAAAATAAAGACTGTAAAAATACTGTAGGATGTTTAGTTTTTATCATTTTTAAAAATATATTTTAACACGGACGGAGCCATTTTATTTACACGCAAAGCATTCTGGGTAAATTATTATGTCAACTAGGTCATCGGTGAGAGGCTGCT